CTTACTTACTTACTTACTTTACTTACTTACTTACTTACTTACTTACTTACTTACTTACTTACTTACTTACTTACTTACTTACTTACTTACTTACTTACTTACTTACTTACTTACTTACTTACTTACTTACTTACTTACTTACTTACTTACTTACTTACTTACTTACTTACTTACTTACTTACTTACTTACTTACTTACTTACTTACTTACTTACTTACTTACTTACTTACTTACTTACTTACTTACTTACTTACTTACTTACTTACTTACTTACTTACTTACTTACTTACTTACTTACTTACTTACTTACTTACTTACTTACTTACTTACTTACTTACTTACTTACTTACTTACTTACTTACTTACTTACTTACTTACTTACTTACTTACTTACTTACTTACTTACTTACTTACTTACTTACTTACTTACTTACTTACTTACTTACTTACTTACTTACTTACTTACTTACTTACTTACTTACTTACTTACTTACTTACTTACTTACTTACTTACTTACTTACTTACTTACTTACTTACTTACTTACTTACTTACTTACTTACTTACTTACTTACTTACTTACTTACTTACTTACTTACTTACTTACTTACTTACTTACTTACTTACTTACTTACTTACTTACTTACTTACTTACTTACTTACTTACTTACTTACTTACTTACTTACTTACTTACTTACTTACTTACTTACTTACTTACTTACTTACTTACTTACTTACTTACTTACTTACTTACTTACTTACTTTCTTACTACCTTATATATTTATTTATTTATTTATTTATTTATTTATTTATTTATTCATAAATAATTTTTTTTATTATTATTTATTTATTTATGTGTTTATTTATATCTTTTTTCTTGTAATTTATTTATTTATTTGTATTAATTAATTTATTCATTAATTCATTTATTAATTAATAAATAATTTTTTTTATTTATTTATTCATTTATGCATTTATTTATTTATTAAACAATTAATTTATTTATTCATTTATTATGATTTTTCATTATTCTTTTATTGATCTGTTAATTTTTTATTTCTCTTTATATAATTTTTTTAATTTATTTTTTTTTGTCTTATTTATTTATTTATTCATTTATTTATTAATTAAATAATTAATTAATTCATTTATTTATTATTTTTTTAATTTATTCATATATATATTTATCTATTTGTCTACTTATTTATTTATGTTTGTACTTATTTATTATTTTATATACTTTTATTTATTTATTAAATTACATAAAAATTATTTAATTTAACTTTTTGTTTGTATATTTAATAATTTATTTATTTATTTTTTTAATAATTTATTTATTTATTTATTATTTTTTTTTATTATATAGGGGAAATGGATGTGATGTCGGCCTAAATGCTCATAATTTGGGCCCATACATAAATTATGTAATCGACTAAATTTTCAAAAGCGCCCAAACATATCCATTAGTACCGCAGGGCTGGTAGCAGGTCACTTTTTAGTGACTTTGTCACTATTTTGAACTCAGTCACTAAAAAGTCACTTTTCAAACCAAAAAGTCACTTAAGTCACTATTTCCCTAAAAATAGTCACTAAAGTCACTTTTTTGCAACTAAAATAGAGTGAAATGGAAAAAAAACATTTTTAAATTGAGTACTTGGCACTAAGGAAGTTATAAAATAAATCTGGGATGATTTCTGAGGATACTTCCAAGAGAACTTTAAAAAGTTCGAAATAAGTTCCGAGAAGAATTCAAATGGAATCGGCTTTTGAGGATTCATTCTCAAAGGAACTCTTCGAAGAGTTTCAAGGGTATTCTGAGATGGATTTTTGTTTTGAGAATTCTGAGAAAATACCATGGGAATTCTGAGAAGAATACGAATTGAATTTATAGATAGATGAGAAGATGAAAGTATAGAGTTGAGTAGTATTGAGGTAGTGCAAAAATTGTATATAGAAAGTAGAAGTAGAAAGCAATCAGGTAGATGCTTACGTCAGATGGCGATTTGAATGTGAAACAATTGATTGAACTGTTTCCTCACATAGGAGGTACATGAGCAAATCGGCAATCGGCAATTTGCCAGTGTGGCGGAGTGAAACACCCCTCACTATCCCTCATCAACGAATGAGTTTGGTAAAAGGGATGCTCTACCCGATTCGTACCTTCCTCAAAATTATTTGAAGCTCGCTTTTTTACTTTCTATATACAATTTTCACACTGCCGTAGTACAACAGAACTATCAACTCTATACTTTATTAAAATGTCCACGTTCAGCATCTCTAACTACGAAAATAATCTATTTCCAAGAATGTTCTCCATTGTTTTGCAAAGAATTTCCAGAATGAAATATTATTTTTGTTAAACTTGCAAAGTTTAAGAGGGATGAAATAATTCTAAAAAAGTTCTTGAGATCATTCTGAAATTTTTTTGATGAAATATTCTTAGCGAATTATCAAAGTTAAATCAAAATTTTAAAGATTTCAATTGCAGAATCAAATTCAAGATTTTCGATAATAAAAAAATGCTGTCGTTGTAATGATCTATTTAACCCTATTTAACAGTAATATTTGAAAAAAAATCTAAGAAAATCCGAAAATTGCACTTCAAATGTTCTTAATAGGAGATTCCGTTGAGAGTTTCGATATAATTAGAGGAAATCATGAAATGTCATTTTAAGTTCCATTATAAAAACAGTTTATTTCAATATTAAACCTTATTTGAGTTTCTGAGTCATCATATAAATGTAACTATTGGTTACTTATTTATTATTCAAAAGTCACTATTTGGTCACTATGTCCGTAATTTTAGTCACTAAAGTCACTACTATTATATCGCATCAGCGCTACCAGCCCTGGTACCGTCCCAATGACGCGTTCAACTAGATAAAATTGATAAATAGCAGAATTTTAGCGATGGGCCCAATCTTAGATCCATAGGCAAACATTAGAACCATTTCCCCTACATTTGGAATATTATTTATTAAAATGCTTGTACAAAATGTTATCTTTTGAGAAAATTTCAAGGTGAACACTAAATAATTAACAAAAATCTAAATAATTAACAAAACAACATTTTTTTAACTTTTTGTTTATATTTTTTTTAATTTTCCATTGATTGTCTATAAAATGGGTTTCTGAGCAAAATTGCACACACAATTGATTCAACGAACATGGTGTTCTATGCTTTTTGTTTATTTTTAAGCGTGCATATTGAAATTTTCTTTCTGCGAATGTAGTATGATTTATATGCTTATTAATGAAAAATATCGAAAAAAGGAACTTGAAGAGGGTTATTTTTTGTTATTTGCGTTTAAACACTTTTTTTGGATTTTTAAACTTTTAAAATTACTTGAAACTTATTTCCGTGTATATTTTACTTGAAAAGCAATAAATGTTTCATACATATTTGCCTCAGGCGTCATTTCGATTGGAAGTAACGTTTTCGAGTTATGATTTGTTGCAAAATTCAAACACGCCATTATGAAGACTTTTTTGCGAGATTAAAAATGGTCGAATTTCCGCACAAATGTGAATCATTCACCATAACAAACAATTATGCAAAATTTCATACAAATCGGAGATGGTCGCATCAGATCGATTCAACATTTGGCGTAGAACTGCTCTACTGGGTGAAGACACCTTCATAGTTAATCGAACCCACATTGCTCACGTTTCAGCATAGAAAATAGGCCCTTTATTCCGGGAGCTCCTCTTGTGACGCTTAAAATAGTTATTAATAAGAAATAAAGAATCCTACACCCATGTCCACCTGTTTAAGAAATGATTAACGATCCCAGGCGCCATCCCAAAACCTACTTATCAATAAACTTCGATCACCCCAATTCATTGCTGGACCAAACTGCGACCGTAGAGGATTCATTAGAGACGAAAAGAAAACAGAAAACAGTTGAACCCGATCCCTATCCGATTAAATTAATTATCGATCTCGATTTAATTAATGTTGAAACACCGCATCACGTGGCATCACGGTCGGCGGGAGGGATCGCACAGCCATCGTCAATCTTTTCCTTGTGTCTTTATGAAAAGGAAAAGATATCGATCGAACCGATACCTAACCTCGTCGAGCCGAGCAAAACTCCAATCCAGCTGCCAGGCGCTGCGTGTAATTGATTTTCACAGCCTACAACTAAGGCGACGATGAACGGTGAGCGGGACGAACAAAAAAGTTCCCACGTAATTATGCAAATTAGGAACCGGGCATAGAAAGCGAAACGAAGCGAAAAAGGGACATGCAGGTAGATGATGTGTATCGCGCACTCTACGATATCAGAAGGCTTTCAGGTGGTCCCTCCCCTGTCTCCGTCGCTCGAGGGGGTGACAAAAAGACGAACGACGAACCAAGGAGTGAAGTGAGCGAGCGTCCAGATGGAAGAAATGAAGAAGTAAATTTAGTAATTGTTCTCCACCTCCCGTCCGAAGGGCATTGCAGTCGTATGACGAAAGATGAAGATCCACGGGGAGATAATTGTGCCTTCCAGCGAGCGAGCAGGAGGCTGGGGCGAACAGCTGCTGAACCGTTTCCTGTTTGGCGCGATGGGACTCCTTTAGGCTGAGTTACGAGAATGTGAAGAATATGAGTCAATGTTCTTAGAAGTGGAGGTTTCTGCATTAGGAATAGATAGGTAGAATTTCCTAGAAGCCATCGCCTACTGGGACCACCAACCGCGAGGCGAAGATCCATTTTTTAGTACTCTATCGACACGCGGTTAATCGCTCAATCTAGTGGGCCTGGAGATTTAAAATGCCACAGCAATCTAGTTGGCAGCACTGTGTTTTTGGCCTCTCTTTCTCTCTACTCCACTATGTTTGGACCAAGATAGCCGTGCGGCGGCGGTGTGCGATATACGCGCAATGACCGAGCGTAATTTTAATCTGCTCGCGACGATAAGCGACTGGCGTGGTAACTGATTACGCTCACAGTTCTGTTCACAACAATCAGGGTGGAAGAAGAGAGAAATCAAACCGATGCCAGTCTGAGAGTGTTGCCCAAACGGTGTGAAGGTGTGGTTTTTGTTTTGCGAAAAATTGGTTGTAATTCGATTTTGAATGATGGGAATCAGGAATACTGGGTGAGTCATAAACCTTTTTAACGATCACCCAAGACGCAGCGTGCTGAGAGTAGTTTTTTCCATTTCTTATAGCAAACTAGCCGGCAAAACATTGTTTATCACCGGAGCTTCGCGAGGAATCGGCAAAGCAATCGCACTAAAAGCGGCCCGTGATGGGGCGAATGTGGTGATCGCGGCAAAAACAGCCGAACCACACCCGAAGCTAAGCGGAACGATCTACACGGCGGCAGCCGAAAGTAAGTTGAACTGTTACGGGTGCACTATTTGCCTACTTATAATCTCGTCCGTATAGTTGAAGCCGCCGGTGGTAAGGCGCTAGCTTGCGTGGTGGATGTCCGCGATGAAACTGCCGTACGGACCGCCATCAGAGGGGCTGTGGACAAGTTCGGTGGAATCGATATCTTGGTCAACAATGCCAGCGCAATTTCGTTGACTCCGACGGAGCAGACCGAGATGAAGCGATATGATCTGATGAATAACATCAACACTCGCGGCACGTTCCTGGTGTAAGTTGAGTCATTAGTTGTCTGAAGAAGTGTCAATAACCGGAATTCCTTACCGACAGATCCAAGGAGTGCCTCCCGTATTTGAAGAAGAGTACCCACGGTCACATCCTAAACCTTTCACCTCCACTGATTTTAAAGCCTGAGTGGTTCGCTCGCAACTTGGCCTACACGATCGCCAAGTACGGCATGTCGATGTGCGTCCTGGGGATGGCCGAAGAGTGCCGGAAGGATGGTATTGCGGCCAATGCCCTATGGCCGGCAAAACTAGTTCATACGGCCGCTGTGGATATGATCCACGGCGATGGAGCCGAGAGCGTTTCCCGCAAGCCGGAGATCTTGGCGGATGCTGCGTACGCCATCCTTTGCAAGGATCCTCGCTCCTGCACCGGAAACTTCTTTATCGACGAAGATCTACTGCAGGCCGAAGGCGTTACCGATCTGAGCGAGTACTCGTGCGTTCCGGGCAACGAGAAGAACATTCAGCTGTGTGGCTTTGTAGATGTCAATAGATCGAAGTTGTAAACAAATGTGGAATCCATTTTGATTTAGTTGTGTGTTTTTAATTCCTTCGGCAAAGTCCATCTTTGAGAAACCGTGAGAAACCGCGCCGCTCGGAAACCCGAAAATCGATCGTATTAATCTTCGAGTTCGAAAATTCAAAACATCCACTGGGAACGGAATGTCAAACCAGCTGAAACGGCAAGAAATATTTGACTCCACCGTCGCCGTCGGTTTTTTTCGTTGTTTCATTCTTGCTGTGTATTTTTTTTTGTCCAACGATATATTCGGAAAGGGCACACAGATCGCACATCTTCATTCTTGAAATTTTAAAGAAACCTGCTCGCCGCGTCCTAACTTTTGTTTTACTTTTTGCGTGATCGAGCTCATCCTAAAAAAATTGAGGATGATCAGGTCCAGAGGAAAAGATCGGTTTTAATTTAAATTTGCATTTTTCGATTGCTTCTTGCTACCCGTTTCCATTTATAGTGGTGGAAAAAAAACTAGGTTTAGTTACATTTTGGTTTTTGCTCTTTTCCACAGCAAAACGTACAGCATAATAATTTATGTTGTTAATTTTTTCGACGGAATTTAGTTCAAGAATGGGGAAGAGGAAATCCTTTGGCTTGGAACAAAGTTGCGTGCGGATGGGGAGAGCTGCAAGTGGTGTGTGTTCGCGCGTGTTTTAGTCAAGTCATAAAATAAAAAGAAGGTTATACGTTGAAGTAAGGAAGGGAATTGACGTTTCTAATGAAATGAGACGTCCTTCCTGGAATTTGGGGCAACACGTTGTTGGGTGCGTTTTGAATTTATGATGCCTTTTTGTTTTGGATAGGCGAAACGCGTTCCTTTGGTATTAGGGTTCGTAAATTATGGGAGCTTGAATAATGTGCTTTGAAAATGGGAGTTTCATTGGAATAGTGCGTTCTTTCAATCATCTGGACCTTGGGTTGAAGATTATAACTTTGTTGCTTTCATTTATCGATAAATCATATGACTTCAGCTTCTGACCCGACTTTGGATTGATGGCAACACTGCACTGTTTGATCAGTTGTCGCTGAGATTGTGTATCACAAATCAGAATACCTTCTAGATGAAACACAGCATGGTACTTGGATGAAAACAGATACGGATAAGATAGCTTTAAAACATTATCAACAATGCCTTTTGATAGAGTGAAAAACGATCGTAACGCCTAGATCGCAGATTGAGTTTACACGTTCTAGGGAATACGGTCCCATGCAGTAAGGATGAAGAGCAACGCTATTGTCACCGCACCAGACTAGCAAACGATTTATATCTTCTTGTACTGCAACACAGTCAGCAGGAGAAAAAAATACACAAATTTAGGTCATCAGCATAAGACAGTTTGGATGATGAGAGCAGCTCACACAAGTCATTCAAATAGATGATAAAAATAAGAGGACCGAGAACACTGCCTTCTGGTACGCCAGATGGAGTGTCGAAGGTCCTGGAGCGTATGGAATTTACCACCACGAAAGCATTACGTCGAAAACGTCTTGTGGAACTGTGTGGAACAAGTTTGGGTGGCCGTAGAACTGAGCGATCGCACACTGTACCTATGTGCGGTGTATATTGCACCTGTCGGGGTTCGTGACAACGAACTTATCGATACCCATTGCCGGTCCGTTTTCACCATAATGGAGAGTGCGACACCAATTGATGAGACAATCGTTCTGGGTGACTTCAATCTACCCGGCGTTTCCTGGAAACCATCTCACAGCGGCTTTCTCTACCCAGACCGTGTACACTCTGTATTTCATACAGGATCAGTTAGCCTTCTCGACTGCTATAGTACAGCAACACTATCTCAAATAAACCACGTAGTCAACGAAAACAACCGTAGCCTGGACCTCTGCTTCGTTAGCGTTCAGGACACCGCTCCTTTCATCTCCACGGCACCTTCTCCACTAGTAAAGCAAGTACATCATCACCCTCCCTTGGTTGTCACTGTTGCTGACAATCACGATCGGGTCTTTGACGACATTTCCACGACCGTGTCATACGATTTCCGGAAAGCCGATCACCGTAGTATCGTCAACGTGCTATCTAGTATAGATCGGGAGAGCATCCTCGATCCTGATAATGTTGAAACCGCTGCGCAAACATTTTCACATGTCTTGGCTTATGTCATTGACAGGCACGTTCCGAAAAGAGTTCACCGTAAAATTTCTCATCCTCCCTGGCAGACGAGTGAACTGCGTAAGTTGAAGTCGACCAAGAGAGCCGCATTAAGAAAATTCACTAAGTATCGTACGCTTTCGCTGAAACGTCACTACTTTAGGCTCAATTATGAGTTCAAGTGAGTTAGCCGTCGATGCTATTCGCGATATCAACGAGGGATTCAGAGGAAACTCAAGTCGCACCCGAAGTCATTCTGGAATTACGTAAATGAGCAGCGCAAGGAATCCGGCCTACCTTCTTCAATGGTGTTGAATGGAGTAGTTGCTTCCACTCCTCAGCAGATCTGTCGCTTGTTTTCTGAGAAGTTCACCAGTGTTTTCACGAATGAGAGATTAACTGACGAACACGTTACCCTAGCAGCTAGTAATGTTCCACTGTACGGTCAAACACTGGGTGCGATGGATGTCAACGTCGAGATGATTTCCACTGCCGTATCACAACTCAAGTCGTCCTTCAATCCAGGACCCGACGGCGTTCCATCCGTATTCCTGAAAAAGCATATCGCCAGCTTGCTGATGCCCATGCTTCACCTATTTCGATTGTCCATCTCGAGTGGTACATTTCCATCTTGTTGGAAATTCGCACATATGTTTCCTATCCACAAAAAGGGCAGCAAACGGGATGTGGAAAATTATCGTGGAATTACGTCGTTGAGTGCAGTTTCGAAGTTATTTGAGTTAGTTATCATGGAGCCTCTACTCTCTCATTGTAAGCAGTATATAAGTGGTGATCAACACGGCTTCACTTCCGGTCGTTCTACTTCCACAAATCTGCTGTGTTTGACATCGTATCTTACGGAAAGCATGGCAGAGAGGACTCAAACAGATGTCATATACACCGACTTGTCAGCTGCCTTCGATAAGCTAAACCATGCCATCGCGATTGCCAAGTTGCATAGACTTGGGGTCAGCGGCAACCTCTTGCGATGGTTTCGTTCATATCTCACTTATCGGTAACTGATGGTTTCCATTGGTGACAACCGGTCCAATATGTATCTAGCTACGTCAGGAATACCTCAAGGAAGTCACCTGGGACCTTTGATTTTCTTACTCTACTTCAATGACGTGAACTTGGACATCGAATGATCTTAAAATCTACCTACGAATCCGCTCGATTGATGACTGTCACTTCCTTCAACGTCAGTTCGAAGCCTTTGCCAGCTGGTGTAATTTGAACCGAATGGTGGTTAATCCCACTAAGTGTTCAGTGATCACTTTTACTCGAAAGAAAGAACCAATCACATTTGAATACAAACTTATCGGCACTGTAATCGACCGTGTGAACCATGTGAAAGATCTGGGTGTTATTCTGGATTCTCAACTTACGTACAAGCAGCACATCTCGTACGTTGTCGACAAGGCGTCTAGGACATTGGGATTTATCTTCAGGATAGCAAAGAATTTCTCCGATATCTACTGTTTGAAGTCACTGTACTGTTCCTGGGTGCGATCCATTCTGGAATATTGTTCTGTGGTCTGGAGTCCAAACTACAACAATGGTGCTGAGAGAGTTGAGTCCGTTCAACGCCGTTTTCTTCGATTCGCTCTGCGGAAGCTGCCTTGGAGAGACCCATTTCATCTGCCCAGCTATGAAAGTCGTTGCCAGCTGATTGATCTGGAGCCTCTCCGAACTAGAAGAGACACCTCTAGGGCCCTGTTCATTGCGGGCACTTTACAAGGTAGAATTGATTGCAGTGCAATCTTGGGGCAAGTCAACATTAACGTCCAACCCCGTGCGCTACGTAACAACGTTATGCTGAGATTGCCACTTCAGCGCACAAACTATGGCATGAACGGTGCAATAGGTGGGCTGCAACGAGTGTTCAATCGAGTCTCGGGCATCTTCGATTTCCATATGCCTCGACAGCTGCTACGAAGATACTTCTCATCGTTCTTTTCCGGGTCCTTTCGTTGAATCGAGAGTTTCGAGGGCTTTCTGGAACTTCGTCTGGAGAAAACTGGATGCATTGTAGATGTATGTTATGAGACGGAATCTGCTCGAAGCCTGCTTGACGGTGAACGGGTGATGCTTTACTAAATACGCTCTCAAAGAAATTAGCAAAGAGATTAGCTATCTCCGAGCATGAGCGAGAAGTGGTTCCTTCGAAGTTGACCGATCCAGGGATGCCGTAGTCAGCTTTGCGTTTCTTAATGAAATCCCAAAAGCGCGAAGGATTTTCCTTGACGGTTGTCTGTATCCTACACAAATAGTTTTCGTGTGTCGTAGAAAGGGTGGCTTTGTACCCCAACTCAAGCTCAACGAGTCTAGCTTTATCAGACTCATTTTTCGTTTGGAAAAACCTGTTGCGCAGCTTACGAAGCTTGTTACGAAGCGTACGTAACTCTGCAGTCCATCACGACGGTTTGTTGAAAGCAGAAATCGGCGATTGTCTCTTTAGAGGTACATGATGATTTATAACTTCAGAGAGAGATTAGTAGAAAGCTGATAACATCTGGTCTACTGAAGCATAAATTGATAATTGTTCCCACTCAATATTCATAAAAATAGAATTCAGCAAGTCAAAGTCGCATGCCAAATAGTCAAATTTGAAACATTTGTCCTGATCGTCAAGTACGGATGGTACAACACTCTCGTCAAGTAGTAAGATGATTGGTGTGTGATGATTATCAACAGTTAACAGCAATGCAGGTGCGGAAATTAGGTCAAGATACTCCGGGAGATTGGTGAACGCCAGGTCAAGGAGTCTTTCGTTCGTGTTGACAATGTTATTAATCTGTCTCAAGCCTTTGGAAAACATAGCTTCTGTAAAGTTTCTCTCAGTATCAGTCAAGGCGTTTGACGGAATAAAGCCATTAATGTCCTCGTCCAGATGCTATCGCA